TCGACTATTCATCCGCTATTTATTTTGACCAACAACATACAAACAACTCACCTAACTGACGGAAAGTCGGCATGTCTACTCATGGACATCAACAATGCTTTTGATAGTGTCTGACATAGGAGCTTACTATACAAACTATACCGACTCCACACACCACCATATCTACTACACACCATAAAGAACTTATTAGAAAACAGAGAACTACAAGTACGAATTGACAACACACTCTCCTTTGCTTTTTTCCCTGATTTTCCCCTTTGGGTTTCCACAAGGATTCCCGCTCTCACCCTTTCTCTACAGTATATACTGCCATGACGATCGACAGAACGGCACACATATTACAATACGCTGACGACACGGCACTTATTGTACACGACAAAACTACTGAAAAAACGACTGAAAAACTTCAAACACTAACAAACAACACAATGACATGGTTTTATAAATGGAGACTAACGCCAAACGTGACAAAAAATCAACTTCTGCTCACGAACCACAGACTCAACGCTGACTCGCCCACAATAACTGCAGACGGAAAAATAACACAACCGAAAAACGACGTAAGGTATTTTGGGATAACAATCGACCACAAACTGAAATTCACTAAACACACACGAAACATCAGAACAGAAATGATAAAAAGAACAAAACACTTTCGATCACTAACATACAAGGACATAGGAATTAGTACAAATACCGCGACAAAAATATACAAAGCGATCTGCAGACACCTCTTGGACTACGGACATATACTCATGGCCAACGGAACAGAAAGGACAAAACGATACGTATAAACAACATAACAAATTGCACTAAGACTAATAACACGAATAAGACTCCCCCAAAACCTACTGCACAACCCGTCCAACCAACTACTATACGAACGCACAAACATGACAAAAATTTCGGAAAGACTAATACACTTAGAGACAAAATGGACAAACAACCCCCACAACTGGACTATACTGAATCCCCTTTGCCTCACAAGACCGACAAAACACTCCCATTTTCGTTCCCCAACAGATACTTTACTAGAACACCTACAAACGCAACTGAACTAAGGACTAAGATCTGTTTGTTTTGTAAGCCAAGAATTTTTATTTT